GTGGCGCAGTGGTTGAGAGTCCGCCTGCCGATGCAGGGGACGCGGGTTCGTGCCCCGGTCCGGGAAGATCCCACATGCCGCGGAGCGGCTGGGCCCGTGAGCCATGGCCGCTGAGCCTGCGCGTCCGGAGCCTGTGCCCCACAGCGGGAGAGGCCACAGCAGTGAGAGGCCCGCGTACCGCAAAAAAAAAAGTGGAAACCAGGAAGAGTCCCCAGACTGTGGTAGGCAGAGGAAGGAGGCTGGTATAGAGACCTGTGGTCAGGTCTCCGCACAGCTTGAGAGCTGTTGAAGATGCTGTTGATTGAAGGTTTTCACCACATATGTAAGGTTTGGCAAGCAAACTTAAAAAAAAAAAAGTCATCCTAAGAGATCTCACTAAAAAGATCTGGAGAATGATATCAGAAACCTTTTAATTTGTTTGGGGGAAAAAAAGCATTGATACAAAGCAAATTATCTATTTCTATACAAAATTGTTCTAGTTCCAGAGAAATAATTTCACTGTCAACAAAATTTGCTGTGCTCTTTATAAATTCCAAGTTAACAAACCCCTCAAACCCCTCTGGTATTGTTTTATATATATACACACTACACACATACCTGGCCAAGGTGGGCAATAAATTTGAATCAAGGTCTACGTTTCCAAAGTAGCAGAGCCAAGTAGAGAGTCCCCCGGCAGCATTCTTTTTTTAAAAGGTTTCTTATTTATTTTTAAAGGATTTGGGGGTTCTTTTTGTGGGGGGCAGGGAAGGGAATCTGAGCATGCTCCATCTATCTACATGACACCATAATAACTTGTAGACAAGATAATCATGTGGTTCCAGGAAAGACATTGGGGACTAGGGTGAAGGCAACTCTCATTCAAGAGAATGGAAGCAAGAAAATTCTGAATGTGACTTCACAACGCGGGTAAAGGTGGTGGTTTGGGAACATGCGGTAAGGGTATTTATTTGCCTAATTTCAGCATTGCTAGAGCACATGCTAACAATGGTATTCCACTTCTGAAATTCCACTGGTTCTGGAATTCCAGCAAAGGTCCCTCCAGGTCATCGTGTTCTCCCCGACCTCATAGTGCTGCTTGGGAAGGCACTGCCTTTTCTTTGCATCACAAATTGTTTAGCAAACTATTCATGAAAGAAAAAATAAATTATTAAATTCTATGAAAATTGTCTTGAGCTCTGACTCAATGTATCCAAATAATTTTTTTTTCTGTATATAACATCCTTAAAACTCAGCTGAAGCTTCAACTAGTTGATCGTTTGGCATTTTGAGAAGTCAGGATTCAAGTAGAAGAGGCAGCCCCTTGCTTTACCACATTCATCCTGAGCCTGTAACTGAGACAAGATGTCCTGCCCTCTGGAAGAGGGGTACCACCACACTTTGTCACATCTGCCATTTTAGAATGTTCCCCAACAGCTGCAGCTGGGCCTGCCAAGGGGATGCTTCCGTGACACAAAAAGCCTTTCATTACAGTTTTCAATGCTATTTGAGATGTTTGGATTCTTCTGTTGTTACTGTTATTCTTGAAGTTTGCTTCTGGTTTGGAGCCCTATTTAAAACCTGGAGATCTCTTTTCCTTAGATCAAAGTTATCTTGTGCCCACAGACAGTGGTATATATGTACCGTAAACAGAACTTTGGCACAAATGATCTTCCAGATGGGAGAAGAACACCTGAGCTATTCAATACAAACCCACATTTTTACTGTGACAAGCATGTCTTATATTTTCGTGTTATAGCCTTCTGACTTCAAGTCTTCATCCTACTTTAAATGTGCAGATTTTCTTTAATCCTATTTCTTAATGAAAAAAGAAACTATTAGGGAGATAAAAAGTTTAGCGTTTTTAAGTGTATGCTTCGGGGATAGTGATTTATTCATTTATCACCCTTGGTAATCCAAATGAGAAAGGATATCAGGCTAACTTAGAAATTCGCAGGGTCTTCCCTCTCAGGCTTCTGTGCAATTAATTAGAACAACAGGGAAGGCTTTCATGAAAGTTATATCTTCAGGCTCACCCTCATGTTCTTTTATCTGAACATAACATGTTGGTTTCTAATTTCTTTTCTTTTTTCCACTCCCCACCAAATCATGTAGGTTAACAGCCAATCAAAAAGCAAAGAGATTTTCTAATAATAAGATTATGATGTATTTAATATGATAAACTACTTTCCTAATTTCAAAGTATAGCTTTCATGCAGAAAAAAAAATGTCATTATGTAAGTTGCTCTCTTCAAACTGCAGTTAATATGATAATTAATTTCTTTGATTTTTGTCTATCAGTACATATTCTTGAGCTCCTGATGGGGTCATAGCAGTATGATCCATGTTATGCTTCTTTTGAGCCCGATTTAAATCAGGGATCTATCAACAGGGGTCTTGTTGACCAGTGGGGGAAGTCAAGTGGACGTATGTGAAAGCATCTTTACCAAGCTAGTGTTGGTTTTTATGGTGAGGGCTGGGGTGTGCTCTTCTTCAGTGTATTCCCCAGATTCTGGGAGTGATGGTGATCCCCAGCCTTCAGTGAAGTACTCCTCCCAGGATTGCCCTCAGTCAAAGACTGCCATCCCCCCAAGGTCATGCTCCCTCCCTGAACACAGCATTTATCCAATGACTGGTTGATGAGAGAGCAAGTATTAGAGGCTCCAGGCCCTGGCCTTGAGGCAGGATAACTCAGAAGGACCATCCCAGCTTCAGACAACCTGGGGAACCACTTACCTTTGCATTTTAAGTGCATTTTAAGTCACTCCTCTCTCTGCCCTCCTCTGTGCTAGTCCCCAGGGCACTGCCCAATATATTCCCAATATATTTCTTACATGCAGATCTGTCTCAGAGCCTGTTTTTTGGGGGGACCCAGCCACAGCAGCATCAAATGTTGATATAATGAAATCAGAATGCCCAGGTTTTGGTCCTGCTCCTGCCACCACAGAGAGTCCCCTCTCTCGACTTCCTTTAAAAGGGTTGCTTTTAAAGGAAATCTCGACTAGATTTCCAAAGTAACATCTCTCTAAAAGTCTAAGATAACTATCATAGTAAGCACTCAATCTTGATTGTTCTTCTAAATATTATAACTAATATCAACTGAAAAGAACATGGAATCAAAAATCAATGACCAGGAATCAGTTTTAATTACTAATTTGTTTGACAACACAAAATAGATTTCCCCTTACGTATCTATTCCACAACAGAAGATACTCTTATAAATCATCCCTATTCTGAGTTTAATTCAGCAGCTTTCATTCCATTCTTCTCTCTGCCCAGGTTTCCAGGAGCACAGGTAAATCCACTCAGTCATCTCCTCTCCATCTGGAACCAGAGCAATGATTGCAAGGAGGGTTTGTAGAATCCATCTGGAGTCAGATATTTCAGAATCAAGCAACAATGTGTTCGTATTCTTAAGTGGAAAAGTTTTAAAAGGAAAAGGGACTCCTTAAAAACAACTTAATATAATAGGGAAAGAATTATAACCAACTTATTAAATGAAATATATCCAACTAGTTAAAATATATGACTCCACTACTTAAAGTCCCAAGTCCTTTGTTTTTCATTTTATCCTCTTAGATTACTTCTTTGATGTAGGTATCATTAAAGCCATTGCAGTACTTGCAGTAACTCTATCCTTCTTGGTTGGTGCCTTAAGAGAACGTAAACACCCACCCAGAGAGGCAGGGTGTCAGTTCCTGCCACTAGCACCAAGGTGTTCTTGACCTTAGGGTAAAGTTTTTTTACAAATTCACTTTGTTTCTTTATTTTCCCCTCCCCTTCCTTTCCTGTTTTATCCATCCTGCTTTTTGGTCCCTCCCTCTGGCATACACTTTGTCCTGCATCTTTTCCTATAAGGGTGTACTCTGTGCCCGCGTTTGACTGCTGTTACTGGGGTTGCTTCCATTCTCTTCCTGCCTGTTGGCTCCACAGCTTGCCTGAGTGCTGCAGAACTCACTTCCAAGTGCCCATCTCAGCATGAGGCAGCCTTCTCCTGGTGGTGTGGGGAGAGGTGAGGGTAGTGAGCTATTATGAGATGAGGTGTGGGGAGGCGTGGGGAGGTGTGGTCAGGTATGGTGAGACGTGGGGAGACATGGGGAGGTGTGGTCAGGTATGATGAGATGTGGGGAGACATGGGGAGGTGTGGTTCTATTTTTTCTAAAGTGACTCCATGCACAGTGGGAGAAACTATAACCTGCCCTGGAACACCTATCATTGGCCAAAAAGGCCTAGCTTTCTGGCAATACTGTCTGGTTACCCAGTTGACCCTGGAAAACAATCACATTCTCTGTGCATGTAATTTACCTCATCCACATAGGAAAGTGGCCTGGATTACCTACCACCTGACGTCATCAACTGTGGCAACCTACCATCCTAGAAGCACTTTGCTTTTAACCTACTACCACGTGGGAGGTGTGTGCAGACTTTTATCAAAAGTTTTGGAGAGGGCTTCCCTGGTGGTGCAGTGGTTGAGAGTCCGCCTGCCGATGCAGGGGACACAGGTTCGTGCCCCGGTCCGGGAAGATCCCACATGTCGTGGAGCGGCTGGGCCCGTGAGCCATGGCCACTGAGCCTGCGCGTCCGGAGCCTGTGCTCCGCAACGGGAGAGGCCACAGCAGTGAGAGGCCTGCATACTGAAAAAAAAAAAAAAGACTATAACTCCACTGCCTGTATTAATCTGGTTGGAATTCCAGTCTGATCTTACGTGCCTCTGTAACTAGGCAATCAGTATTATCCATTGCAAATCAGCGCAACTATAAGTTTGTGACTTACAACCATAGACAAATCCTCTGCACTGCTGTGCAGTCATCCTATGTGTCTTTAAACAGCCACCTCAAACCTAAATTTCTAAACAGTGTTTCTAAATCTTTACCACTCTCCTCATGACCCCTCCCCAGAAATTATCATCAGATGGGAACTCCCTCAACCTCTTGCCCTTCTTCTACCCAACTACAGATTTATCTTCATTTACACCTGTCCTTCCCTCCTTCCATCTCATTTGAGAGAGTATTTAACCACTTATTCAAAGCTGCTCAGGATACCAACTTTTCTTATCTCCTTTAATGTTTCAGTCTTTTCATGTATCCGTTTTATGCTGTATCCTCAATCTCTCCCTCCCTACTGCTTTCTTCCCTTAGCCTATGAACAAGCCCAAGCTTTTTATCTTTAAGGAGAAAAAAAGGCCTTCTGTCTTCTACACAAACTCTCTTTCCATTCACAGACAACCTTCTGCAAAGATCAGTCTATGGAACCATCACTGCCTCTTTACTACCCTCTGGTTCACTACTTTACCCACTTCAATCTGGCTTCCAACCCCACTTGAATTGGGAAGCTACCCCCGCAGATGGCAGATGTGACATCTGTATCACCCAATCCAATATAAAATTCTTAGTCTTTGATATACACGCTGTCTCTGTGTCATTGACCATTGACCACATTTCTTTCTGAAGTCCCCTCTTCTTTGGTAACTGGGACATCACTTTCTCCTGGTCTCCTGCTTACCTCTGATGATTTCTTCTCAGTCTACAACTCCTAACGCTTTAAATGCTTATATTCTCTAGGGCTCCACCCTCACCCTTCCTCTTCAATTCATTCACACTCTCCCTTGGTGATCCTGACCAACTCATACTTCCAATTCCACCTACAATCTGATAGTTCCCTAAATTTTCTGCCTAGATATCCCAGGCATCCCAGAGCTCTTCTGGGCCCTAGGACAGTAACTCCCTAATGGACATTTCTACTTGTGGGTCACACGGACACATCAAATTCAACATGTCCCAATTCAAAGTCCTCATCTTCCCCCCCACCCACTCCCCAGCACCTGCTCCTCCTGGGCTCTTATTTTGTCTGATGATACCATGACCCACCCAAGCACACAAGCCAGATATCTGAGTCTGATCCTCAGCTCCTTCACTCAAATCCTCTCTTTCTGTCTTCTACTCTCAGTTAGTAAAATCCTATCAAGACTTTTTAAAATCTCTTGAATTTGTCTCTTTCTCTCCAGTTCCTCAATTACTGCTCCATCATCTCCAACCTGGACTGCTCTCCTGACTCCAGCTTTGTCCCTTTCCAATCTGTCCTTCATAAGGCAGCCAGCAGTTGTCTTTCCTTGTTGGGATAACTTTCTAAATAACGTAACACTCAGCTTAGAGTCCTTAAGTGGGAGGAATATGGCCATTGGGTAGTAAAGTTACCTAAATTTATTTTACTTAATCTATTTTTAACCGATAACTTTTATATTAAATTTATATTTATTTATTTATTTATTTTTGCGGTACGCGGGCCTCTCACTGTTGTGGCCTCTCCCGTTGCGGAGCACAGGCTCCGGACACACAGGCTCAGCAGCCATGGCTCACGGGCCCAGCCGCTCCGCGGCATGTGGGATCCTCCCGGACCGGGGCACGAACCCGCGTCCCCTGCATCGGCAGGCGGACTCTCAGCCACTGTGCCACCAGGGAAGCCCTAAATTTATAATTTTTAAATAGCAGGACAAGTTTGGTAGAGGACTATGAGGGACTTCCATTCTAGAACCTCTTTCTCAGAATCAGGAAAGTTAATATGGCATTCAAGAGGTTTTTTTTAATATTTATTTTTATTTATTTATTTATCTATCTTTATTTTTGGCTGCGTCAGGTCTTTGTTGCAGCATGCAGGGCAGGCGGGATGGTTTTAGCTGCAGCGCGTGGGCACCTTTCTAGTTGTGGAGAGCGGGTTTTCTTCTCTAGTTGTGGCATGTGGGCTCTGTAGTGCGTGGGCTCTGTAGCTTGCGGCACTCAGGCTCAGTAGTTGTGGCGCATGGACTTAGTTGCACTGTGGCATATGGGATCTTAGTTCCCCGACCAGAGATTGAACCCACGTCCCCTGCATTGGAAGGTGGATTCTTTACCACTGGACCACCAAGGAAGTCCCAAGAGTTTTATATTTAATACTTCTCAGTTGCCAGTTTGGTGAAATACACACTATATATCCATGAAATTTAATGTGCAAATCAAATAATTAAAAATGTGTTTATTTCATTTATACAAAATTTTAAAGTTCTCACTATATAAAAAAAAATCAGTTTGTCAGTAATTTTCTTAAGATGGGATCCAACTCCCTCTCAGTTCTCTGGGATCTGATGTGAGGACAGCTGGTTTATAATTGGGAAATACTGAGTGAATGCGGACAGCTGCAGACTTTGTATTTATTTGTTTATGATTCCTTTTACCTAAATGGGAATTCCTTCTCATTTTTCCTACGAATCCTTGGGTCTGGGAGAGGAGGAAAATGGCAGCAGAAGGACCCAAATCTGTGCTTACACTAAATAGATATTTTTTTCTTTCTTGTTTTTTTTAAATTGGGATATAATTGACATACATTATAATCGTTTCAGGTGTAGAATCTAATGATTCAATATTTATATATATTGCAAAACAATCACCACAATAAGTTTAGTTATCCATCACCACACGTAGTTACAAATTCTTTTCCTTTTTTGTGGGCCGCGCCCCTCGACAGGTGGGATCTTAGTTCCCTGACCAGGAATCGAACCCATACCCTCTGCACTGGAAGCACCAGGGAAGGCCCAAATTCTTTTTCTTGTGATGAGAACTTTTAAGATCTACTCTCTTAGCAACTTTTGAATATACAGTAGAGCATTATTAACTATAGTCACCATGCCTTATATTTTAATCACTATAATTCTAAATGCATTTTGATATCTGATATTACCGTTATCTCCTCTTTACTTTTTTTTTTAAAGATCATATTATCTTTCATTTTAACCCTACTCTCACTTTTCAAAATGTCCACTATTCTTACATGTTTATGCCAAATAATTAAGTCTTCGGTCAATAAATAGCAAAGGGATGGAAGGAGAATGGACATTTAGAATTTCTTTTTATTTCGTTTTCTAAAAGGAAGACTGAAAAGGCATTTAAAAATTCTTGAAATGCTAACTGTAGAGGTTAAGACTCACTCTGGAAGCCATGATCTCCCAGCTTTGAATTCCAGCTCCACCACCCACAAGCTGGGTAAGCTTGGACAAGTTTCTTAACTTCTCTGCGTCCTCAACAGTAACATTGGGATAATATTATTATACCTATTTAAAGTCTTTTTGTGAAGATTGCATGAGAGAATACATAAAGCTTTTGGACAGTACTTGGCAGGCAGGAAATGCTTAGTAAATGTTAACTCATAGTAATGCCTGTCTAGAACATATGCACCACGAGAACAGGAACTTCTATTTTGGCCACAATCCTATTGCCAGCAATAAAGACCTTGCAGTTCAGTTCATTTAAGTTCAACAAATATTCATGAATACTTATGACATGCCAGACAGACACCAGAGATGCAGTGATGAGTAAGAATTTGGCCTCGCCCTAGAGAGGCGAAGACACGTAGGAAGGTAGAATTTTCTCTCCATTCTTTCTTTGCTATGCTGTTCCCTCTTCCTGGAACACTCTTCCGCCACTTCTTCACCTGCTTAATTCCTACCATTATTCATATCCTTAAAACTCTCAGCTCAGACATTACATCCCCACAGAAAACTTTCCTGACATTCCAGGATGGGCGAGGAAACTTCCCCAGCCCCTGTGCAAACTTCTGTGGTGTTCTTAGCAGATGGTGATTTGTCTGTCTCCTCTGCTGACTAGTCTAAGTAAACAGAGGTCAGGAAGGTGGATTGCAGCTCTGTGGCCTCAGCACCCAGCCCAGGATCTGCTATGTAACATGTGTGCAATGTGTGGTAAGAAACTAATGATGGGGCTTCCCTGGTGGCGCAGTGGTTGAGAGTCCGCCTGCCGATGCAGGGGACACGGGTTCGTGCCCCGGTCCGGGAAGATCCCACATGCCGCGGAGCGGCTGGGCCCGTGAGCCAAGGCTGCTGAGCCTGCGCGTCCGGAGCCTGTGCTCCGCGACGGGAGAGGCCACAACAGTGAGAGGCCCGCGTACCGCAAAAAAAGAAAAAAAAAAAAAAAGGAACTAATGATGATGAAGAAGCCCGGTAATCTTTCCACGATGAGAGGACTCTTTCTGAACAGTCGTGCCATAGCTTTAAGAAGCAAAGACGTGTATTGCAGTACAAATTATGACTTCAAAATGGCATAATAGCAAAACAGAAACAGACTCACAGACATAGAAAACAAACTTGTGGTTACCAAAGGGAAGGAGAGGGAGAGAGGGACAAATTTGGAGTATGGGATTAACAGATAAAAACTACTGTGTATAAAACAGATAAGCAACAAGGATATATTGTATAGCACAGGGAATTATGGACATTATCTTGTAATAATTTATAATGGGGTATAATCTGCAAAAATACAGAATCACTATGCCATACACCTGAAACCAATATAACATTGTAGATGAACTCTACTTCAATAAAATGTTAATAAAAATGAAAATGACGTAATAAACCAAACTTTATAAAATCTCCTTTTGATCCTTCCTAGGTACTACATTGTTCTGAAAGTTACATGAAAAGAAATAACTAAGTTAAATGGTGAGAAATGAAAATAGAAGATCACTGTTATCTCAGTGGTGACCATGTAGCCAGTAACACTAATTGGAAAAGCCAGACAGGTGACCGCAAGCCTGGGGTCATTTTTACACAGCAGCATCTATTTTACTCCTTTAAAAAAGAGTGGGAGAGGGACTTCCCTGGAGGTCCAGTGGTTAAGACTCTGCGCTTCCACTGGAGGGGGCATGGGTGCCAACCCTGGTTGAGGAACTAAGATCCCACATGCTGTGTGGCCCTACCAAAAAATAAATAAGTAAATAAATAAAATAATGAAAACAACAACAACAAACTGTGGGAGAGGTGAATTCCCCTACGTCAGAAGTATTTTATAGAGTACCTTATGAAATTATCATTTAAGGTAAGCAAGTCATCTGGGCTCATACCGAAGGATTAACTGCTGTGATAATCCTGGTGGTGGTGAGGTTTCCTGAGACTCAAGTGTCGCTGGTTTCTTCACACCATGTCCCCATATCGACCTTCCCTTCCTCTGGTATTCAGAGAAGGAGGGATGGCTAAAAATGGTTCCCACAGAGGGAAAAGTCTCTAAATCCCTTTTCTGTGCTTCTTCACCTCTTGGTGATCTTCCATGTTTTGCTCCAAGGGAGGCGCTGCCCCCTCCCCGCCATCACACATTCAGCCTCATCTCCAAAGAGCCAGGATCCCTTTGCTTTCTCTCCACCCAGTTGGATCTGGAATCAGTGAGGACGGTATCATCAGTGTAAATAAGGCCCAGAGAATTTATCGTGTGATCCTGAGTAGGGATGTGAGTATTTTAATAGATGAAGTCTTGATCCAAGAAGATGAATTCCTGGTTTTCAAAGTTTCAGGCATCAACAAGCAAGCGGTGGGAGGGGTTTTGGGGTCTCGCCCATGGCAGCTGTCTACTCCACCTACTTAGATGTCTGATGTGTCTTCAGTCTTGGTTTCTATTTTTAAAAAACGTCTCTTCCTTCTTCCATAAAAATTTGCCTAGTGTTCTGGCCCATAAAAACATTACAATCGCATGTAACGGTTTGAGAAAAACCACAATTATGAAAACCTCAGGGTAATCTTACATCCAAATACTTCATATTATCTGAAATTATCAAAAGTTAATACGGTTACCACCTCCCCCTCCCCAAATCAGAGCAGAGGGAAAAGGGTTTTGAATCAAACATCCTTTCCTCAGTTAAAATCATTCTGGAAAAAAAACAGCATTTGATCAAGTTTAGACAAGACTTTTTTGGTTGTTGTTGAAGATTGCTGCAATGGTTTCATATTAGGTTTTCTTGCCCCTTTCCAATTTGTTTACAATCACCCCTCCCTCCCCAGGGGTTTTGGAATGAATCATCAACTTTTCTTTTTCAAGTACACTATTAAATTAGGCTACGGCCTGGAATCAAACATTTGTTCTTACAAGCATTTCTTTCATGTCATCAGCTGTAATGGAAACCAGAAATTCAGTAGGCAGGCCTTATCTCCAGAAAAGCAGAAGCAGGGACATCCAGGCCCACACTTCTGCTGTCAGGCATCATTTGGACAAATCTAAAAATCATATTTAAGGGTTGGAGAATTGATACTAAAATTAGAAAAGGCCAACTTAAATTTATGTGAAAATTCATAATTTCTTTTAATTCAGAAGTGATACGTGTCATTCATATTGAGTAAGAAGTTAAAAATAGCTTCTTCCTCTGAATTTCAATCTTACATAAGATGCTTTTAAAGGACATCCACACTTTAAAATAAACAGTGTTTTTCAAATTCCAGCTTCAAGAGCTTAAAGATACCTTCAGTCCATTTTTAATTTCAGGAAACAGCAATTGTTGAATATAAAAATACTTAATTATAAGAATGGCTATCTTTTAGTGATATATTATTATGAAAACCAGACCTTCACCAAAAGATATAAATGAGATGACATATAAGATGACCATTTATCCATTCAGCCAATAGTGCTATCACTAAGTTAAGGATTAATGATGTAGCAATAAACAAAACATACAAAAATCCCTGTCCTGTGGAATTTATATCAAAGGGAAGGCAAGTGAGATAGATTATAAACAAAATACATCAATAAATATATAGAGAAACACTATAAAGAAAACAGAGCAGGGAAGGCGATTAGAGAGTGGTGGGGATGGGGAAGAAGTTACAGTTTTAAGTAGGAGGGTCGGGAAAGGTGGTGTTTTTGTAATGTCGTAAAGGAAATGTGACTTTGAAGAAGAGGACTCCATGCAGAAGGAACTACCAGTGCAAAGGCCCCGAGGCAGGAGTACCTGGCATAGTTAAGGGACAGCAAAGAGTCCCATGTGGCCTGTGCAGAGTGAGTAGGCCAGAGGGTGTGAAGGGGTTAAGTTATAAGTTAACCCCTTGAGTAGGGTTAACCCTACTCAACACTACTTAAGTTAAGTAGGGTTGGGGTGAGCAGATTATATAAGGCCTTGGAGGGCATTGTGAAGATGTTGCTTTTTACTTTGAATGAGGTGGGGAGCCTTTGGAAGATTTTGAACAGAAAGTGACATGGTCTGACTTAAGTCCTTAAAAGATTACTTTGGCTACTGTGTTGCAAATCGATTTAAGAAAGGGAAGGCTAGGGGCTTCCTTGGTGGTGCGGTGGTTGAGAGTCCGCCTGCCGATGCAGGGGACACGGGTTCGTGCCCTGGTCGGGGAGGATCCCACATGCCGCAGAGCGGCTGGGCCCGTGAGCCATGGCCACTAAGCCTGCGCGTCCGGAGCCTGTGCTTCGCAGAGGGAGAGGCCACAGCAGTGAGAGGCCCACGTACTGGGAAAAGAAAAAAAAAAAAAAAAAAAAAAAATGACAAGAAAGGGAAGGCTAAAAAGAGGAAGACTAGCTGGGTACATACTGGACACTCCAGAAATACTTGTTTACTACACACTGCATTGTTACATTAAGTTCCCTCTTTTTTACTTATTTCACCTTTTAAAACTTTACTTCAATAACCTATAAGGGAAAAGAATCTGAAAAAAAATAGATACATATGTATGTATAACTGAAACACTTTGCCATATACCTGAAACTAACATAACATCATAAATCAGTTATACTTCGATTAAAATAAATAAATAAAAGAAAGGCAAAAAAATTTTACCTTATTTATTTCCTTATTCTCCATGTTATTTAGGGCTGTAATTCAAATCTGAAAGCAATACAACTGCATTTCTTTGAAACACTGAATTCATCTCAGACTTTTCACCATCGAGTCAAGCTCGTCTCTCATTTAACTTCCTCTTTCCCCTTCCTTAATTTGGGCAAAGAGTTAAAAATAGTTTGTTCTCTGTGAGCAGGAACAACTACAGATCAACAGAAGTAGATAGGAGTAGGCTTAATACTAACGGCTAACATTTTTGGAGTGTTCCACGTGTACTAGGCACAGTGCTAAATGTCCAACGTGAATTAGCTCATTTAATCTTTGCAGCGGCTTCCTGAAGTAGGCACTGTTATCATCCTCATTTTCACAGGAAGAGAGAAGTTAAATAACCACTTGAGGTTATACGGCTGGCAAAGGGCCAGGCCTGGATTGAAACTAAGGCCATGGGACTCAGAACCTGTGCAGGTGATGGCCACAGTATATTACTATTACCTCCCAGCCGCCCACAGAGATGCCCACGCTAAGAGATGGAGAGACAGGGAAGACCTCGGCAAACTTTGACTGGAGAATGATGCTGTGAAGTAACAATGGTCCACTTGGTCTTCTTGTGGTCTATATGGTTAATGAACAGATGGTATTTCTGTTTATAAATCAGTCTTCTGTGAGTTTGGTTTGCTTGAATCAGCACCTCCCCCTCCCCTTCTGCCTCCCAGAGCCCACTGCTGCCCTCCCCATCTCCCTCCACTGCCTCAAGCTTTATCAATCCAGAGGCTGGACTACATCATGCAGGCTAGACTAAAGGTGCTGCCTGCCCCCAATAGACAGCTCTCCCTCTTTACACACCATGGTTCCAAATGACTATTCAGAGTTGTTTACAACCTAATACAAAATTATTCGAGGCTACGTTATTTTTGTGCCCTGATTTTGATTTATTTAGGCTTCTTCCATGTAAGTGAAGAGGTTTTTAGTACATTTTGGAAATTTGATTTGTCATTTTGTGCTCTGGATCTCTGTTGCCTCTTGGGAATGCATGGTTCCTATCTTATCTGCCATCCGAGGTAGGGAAAGCTGAGGTGGTGGACATTTACATTTAATGCAGTTTATGTGGCATGGATTCTAGATTTATCCTTTGCTGTAACTAGATGTATCCTTTGCTGTAAGAAAACGGATTTGGAGTTTAAGTAAACTGGTAACTGACAATATTGGAAAAACACCAAAGAGTTTTCTCAGCTACTTCTCTCATTTTTGTGAACAGACTCTTCATCAAGTCTTTGCGTTCCATCTCATTCCCTAGGACTGCTCAGCACATTGTTTTTCTTGTGTAAACATTTGATATATTTTGCATATATTTTATATGTGTGTACATGTATATGTGTATGTATTATATAGGTATGTATTGCTTTTATTTAAAAAAAAATCCTGCTCTTTTATAGAATATAGTAGTTGCTTGCAGGGAGAAGAATGTGGTAGCTAGGAAACAGGGGTGAAAAGGAGGTTTTATTCCACTCTGTATATTATTTTCTACCTTTTGAAATCTATACAGTATTTGTGAATTACCTATTCTAGTTCATTAATTGATTTACTTTTACAGTAAAACTATTTCAGATTAAAAGAAATTAATTCTCTCCTTATGTAGTTGAAAACATCATATCTGTTATGATGAACTTATTTTTTCTAATTAGAATAATAAACTGCTCTTGATAAATATTGTTTTAGGAAAATATTTCCCCAAAATGGTTGTTAGACAAATATTGTATGATCTCACTTATATGTGGAATCTAAAAAAAAAAAAAAAAAGAACTAATAGATACAGAGGACAGATTGGTTGCTGCCAGAAGTGGGTACTGGGGGGTGGGCAAAATGGGTGAAGGTGGTCAAAAGGTACAAACTTCCATTATAAAATAAATAAGTCCTGGAGAGGTAATAGATAGCATGGTGACTGTTAGTTAATAGCATGGTGACTGTATTGCATATTTGAAAGTTCCTAAGAGAATAGATCTTCAAAATTCTTGTCACAAGGAAAGAATTTCATAACTATGTGTGGTGATGGATGTTAACTAGAATTACAGTGGTGATCAGTACAATATATACATATAGCAAATCATTATGCTGTACACCTGAAACTAATATAATGTTATATGTCAACTATACCTCAATTAAGGAGACAAAGAATGAAGACCCCATGGTCAGACAGCAGATAGCCAGGTAGAAATCTCAGTTATGTTACATTCCAGCTGAGTGTCCTTGGAAACACTGGGTAAGCTCTCTGAGCGTCATTTTTTTCCCATCTGCAAACAGAAGATATGATGGTCTCTACTTCACAGGGTAGTTGTGAAGGTTAAACAAGTCTTGTGTGTAAACCCATAGCACAGTGCGTGGTACACAGTCAAGTCTCAATAAATGTTACCTTCAAGACAAAAAAATACAAAATTGTTTTAACCAAAACTTATAGCAAAAAAAAAAAATTGTTAAAGGAGACTACATCTAGTAGAAATTATAACAATATATTCTTAAAACATAATTTAAAGAGGTTTTACAGCAAAATCATATCTCCTCATCTTATATCAGTAGCAGCAAAATATAGATCCAGTAGCAGATACTGGAAAGCATTTATTACTCTAACGTGCCATACTCAGTGGTGGCAAAACTCTAGAAACATTCCCTTTAAAAAAATTTATTAAAGTATACATGATTTACAATGTTGTGTTAATTTCTGCTGTACAGCAAAGTGGTTCAGTTATACATATGTATACATTCTTTTTTCATATTCTTTTCCATTATGGTTTATCACAAGATACTGAATATAGTTCCCTGTGCTATACAGTAGGACCTTGTTGTTTATCCATCCTATATATAATAGTTTGCATCTACTAATCCCAAACTCCCAATCCATCCCTCCCCCATCCTCCTCTTGCTTGGCAACCATAAGTCTGTTCTCTATGTCTGTGAGTCTGTTTCTGCAGAAACATTCCCTTTAAAATGAAGAAAAATATGAAGATGATGTGATCATCATGTTTAAAAAAATATATCTGAGAAGACAAAATAATAAGTACAAATACTGTCAAGGAAAAAGCAAAGTTATCATTTGAACATGGTATTATTACTTGAAAAAAAAGAGAAATCTATTGAATCTACTAGAAATAATGTTAGGTGGAAAGTTACAAGATGCTTAAAATCAATAGACTAGGAACAACTAGATATCCACGTGCAAAGCAATAAAACTGGACCGCTACCTCACACAATACTCCAAAATTAACTGAAAATGGATCATAGCTCTAAAAATATGACCTAAAACTACAGAACTCTTAGAAGAAAATGTAGTAGTAAATTTTTGTGACCTTGAGTTAGGCAATGGTTTCTAAGATATGCCAAAATAAAAAATAGATGAGAATTCATCAAAATTAAAAACTTTGAAGGACACCATCGAGAAAGTGAAAAGAAAACACACAGAATGGAACAAAATATTTGCAAATTATATATCTGATTCATCTGATATTTGGACTATATTATTTAATAAACTCTTAAAACTCAACAGTAAAAAAAAAATAACCCAATTAAAAATGGGCAAAAGACTTGAATAGATTTTTCTCCAAAAAAGATATGTAGTCCCCCTTTGCCCATGATTTCACTTTCTATGGTTGTAGTAAACTGTGGTCAAAAATATTAAATGGAAAATTCTAGAAATAAACAATTCATAAGTTTTAAATTACATGCCATTCAGAATAGTGTGATGAAATCTTGCTCTGTCCTGCTTCATCCCACCTGGGATCATCCTTGCGTCCAATGTATCCTGCCCATTAGTCACTTAGACTTAGTAGCCTTCTCAGTTATCAGATTGACTGTAGTTTATCGAAGTGCTTGTGTTCAAGCAACTCTTATTTTACTTAATAATGGCCCCAAAGTGCAAGAGTAGTGATGCTGACAATTAGGAAATGCCAAAGAGAAGCTGTAAAGTGCTTCCTTTAAGTGAAAAGGTGAAAGTTCTTGGCTTAATAAGGAAAGAAAAAGAATTGTATGCTGAGGTTGCTAAGATCTAGGGTAAAATTGTCCTTAAAATTGTGAAGAAGGAAAAAGAAATCTGTGCTAGCTTTGCTGTTGCACCTCAAACTGCAAAAGCTGAGGTCACAGTGCATGATAAATGCTTAGTTAATACAAAAAAAGGCATTAAATTTGAGAGAGAGACCACATTCACAAAACTTTCATTACAGTATATTGTTATAATTGTTCTATTTTGTTATTATTGTTGTTAATCTCTTACAGTGCCTGATTTGTAAATGAAACTTTATCATAACTACGTAGGTACAGGAAAAACATAGTATATATAGGGTTTGGTACTATCCAAGGTTTCAGGCATCCATTGGGGGTCTTGCAACAAATAGCCCAAGGAGAAGGGAGACAAATGTCTACAAATGGTCAAAAAGCACACAAAAAGAAGCTTGTTGCCTTTCAACCCCAAGTGGATATTCTGAGATTCAATCTTGGCCATCCAGGGTTAGTGCAGACCCCACAAGGTAAAGGGCACGACTCCCACAGGACTGTCCTTACTTCAGATGTCAGATCCACTTTGGAGGTCCCAGGCCACCCATACTTCTGACCAACTGGCTATAAATTCAGGGCTTTCAATAACCCCCTTAAGTCCAATAATTCACTGGAATGCCTCACAGAACTCAGGAAAGCTATACTTAAAATTTTATTAGGAAGATTACAGATTAGAAACAGCTAATGAAGAGACAGCTGGGCGGAAGAGAAAATAGGAGCGATTGCTAATGGATTTGGGTTTCTTTTGAGGGCAATAAAGATGTTCTAAAGTAGATGGTGTTGATAGTGTACCACCTTGTGAACATACTAAAAAACCACAGAAATGTACACTTTAAAAGAATGAATTTTATAGTATGTGAATAATATGTCTATAAAACTGTCAATAGGCTTGGTAAGAGTTAGGAAGTATAATGAAAAAGTATCCCATTGAACAATAAGAGCATTAAGAATTAACTTGATGGGCTTCCCTGGTGGCACAGTGGTTAAGAATCCGCCTCCCAATGCAAGGGACACGGGTTCGAGCCCTGGTCCGGGAAGATCCCACATGCTGCGGAGCAACTAAGCCCGTGTGCCATAACTACTGAGCCTGCGCTCTAGAGTCCGTGAGCCACAACTACTGAGCTCACACGCCTAGGGCCCGTGATCTGCAACAGGAGAAGCCACCGCAATGAGAAGCCCACACACCGCAACAAAGAGTAGCCCTCGCTCACCGCAACTAGAGAAAGCCTACGCACAGCAACGAAGACCCAACACAGCCAAAAATAAATAAATAAAATGAATAAATTTATTTAAAAAAAGAAAAGAATGAACTTGACATGAAATATCTTAGGCCTATGTAAGGAATCTACAAATCCTGATCTAGGGTCATAATCAAAGACCTAAATAAATGTTTAGGGTATGTTTCCAGATATTTTGAAATATTCTGAAAAGTAAATTCTTCCTAAATTCACATATAAATTTAATAGTATTCCAAAGGATTTCTTTTGAGGAGGATGTGTCAAAAGTAGTATAAAAATATATGAAAGAGGGACTTCCCTGGTGGTCCAGTGGCTAGGATGGCTAGGACTCCACGCTCCCAATGCAGGGGGCCCGGGTTCAATCCCTGGTTGGGGAACTAGATCGCACATGCCGCAACTAAGGGTCTGCATGCTGCAACTAAAAAAGATCCTGTGTGCCACAACTAAGACCCAGGGCAGCCAAATAAATAAATAAATATTTTAAAATATATGAAAGAATATATAATATAGTATAGTATAAAAATACATATGGAAGAAATAAGTCAATGTAAGTTCATCCATTGTAACAAAAGTACCACTCTTGTGGGGATGCTGATAATGTGTGGGGGCAGGGGATTTATGGGATGGATCTCTCTGTACCTTCCTCTTAGTTTTGCTGTGAATCGAAAACTTCTCTATTAAGTATAGATCATCCCCAACATAGGATGGTTCGACTTACAATTTTTCGACTTTATGAAATTGCGAAAGCAATAAGCATTCAGTAGAAACCATGCTTAGAATTTTGAACTTTACTCTTTTCCCAGGCTAGCGATCCTTTTTCATGATGCTGGGCAGCGAGCTGCAGCTCCCAGTCAGCCTCGTGATCACAATACACTTACAACCATTCTATACCCAGACAACCATTCTGTTTTTTACTTTCAAGTCAATAAATTAATGCTATATTCCACACTTTATTATAAAATAGGCTTTGCATTAGATGATTTTGCCCAACTGTAGGCTAATGCAAGTGTTTTGAGCACGTGTAAGTTAGGCTAGGCTAAGCCACGATGTTCAGTGGGTAGGTGCGTTAAACGCACTTTTGACTTAACAGTATTTTCAATTTATGTTGGGTTTATTGGGATGTAACCCCATCGTAAGTCGAGGAAGATCTGTATATATGGAAGAATACATATATAAGAATAATGGACATTTTGAAAAAGAGAAGAAGAGGTAACATTAAAGATAATATAGTCTAAAAAACATACAGAGGAGATAAGGGTCATATCAGATACCAAAACACATTATAAAACAATACTGATTAAACGTATAGTATAGGCATAGGACTCACAGACAGAACAACCAATCAGAATGAAAAGTCCAGAAGCAGATTTAAAGTTATTTACAAATTTAGCATGTATCAATGACAGCATTTCAGTTGAAAAGAGAAAGGATGGATTATTTTATAAGTTTGGGATAACTGCCTAAACAATAGGAAAAAAATAGACTCCTGCCTCACAGATATAATCAAAAGTTTAGTAGGTTAAAGATGTAAATGTAACAAAAGTTTCTAGGGCTTCGCTGGTGGCGCAGTGGTTGAGAGTCTGCCTGCCGATGCAGGGGACGCGGGTTCGTGCCCCGGTCCGGGAAAATCCCACATGCTGCGGAGCAGCTGGGCCCGTGAGCCATGGCCGCTGAGCTTGCGCGTCCGGAGCCTGTACTCCGCAACGGGAGAGGCCACAACGGTGAGAAGCCCGCGTACCGCACCAAAAAAAAAAAAAAAAAAAAAAAAAGTTTCTAATGAATCCATTAATTACTAGGAGAAAATACAGTTTCTCTTAGTTTATTTATATAATCTTGGGTACAGAATGTCCTACATTCTGTAGGACATTTAAAAAAAATCTTTATGCCCAGAAAATTAAATTTAAAGTTAAGACAAACCGGATGGAAACTTGTTAGAGTATATGTAGTTCTAAATGTAGAATACACACAGATGTACGATAAATATATAGACAGGGCTGTTAAAACTCAATAATATAAATATTCGAAGTCAATATCTTATGTTCAGAGGACATGAACAGACATTTCACAGAGGAAGCAATGTACATGGTCAATAAACATTGTTTTTAAAATTCAGTCTCACTAGAAATCAAACAAAAGCAACTAAAAACAAGATCCTATTTTTCATCATTAGATCAGCAAACATTAAAAAGAATTATATACTCAGGGTGACAAGAGTGTGGGAAAGAGCATTCTCAGCCACTATTGGTGGGAATATAAATTGAAACAATTTAGCAATAAGCATTTTTTTTTTTGCTATAGCCCAGCAATAAGCATTTTTAAAAATCTTAAATATGTAACTACTCTTTGATGCAGAAATCCTACTTCTAAGAATTTGTCCTAGGGAAATACAAAAAAAGAATTTGTCCTAGGGAAGTAACCAGTTATTTGTACAAAGATTTATTTGCAAGGATGTCCACTTACACATTGTTTATAAAAGTAATAAAAAAGGAAATAATATAAATGTTTCATAGCAGGATATTGATTAAAGAAGTTATGATATGCCCATACTATAAAATAGTGCATCTGTTCAATATTTTAATGGTGTATTTATTGACATGGACAATATTTATTACATATTGGTAAGTTAAATTATAACATGGCATGAGTATATTTTCTAAAAATTGTAAACGCTACTATATACACTATTTTGGCAAAAGTCTGAAAGAAAATAAACCACCAATGTTGATTCTGGTTTGTTCTGGTGACAAGATTATGGACACTTTTTCATTTATCCCATTTCCATCTTCTCTGTAATTATGTAATAAAATGATGATTATCAAAGAATGACAAAATTCAAAAATCTAAAAGGAAATAAATGGAGAAATAACTATTAAAAAATAAGAGTCCTGAAGACAGAGTCTCTTTGTGACTATATCTCTGAATATAAGTTAGGCTACATGGGTTCCATGAAAAAAAAAAAAATCCTCTGGACTTCACTAAACGCTGACCTGAAAGGGAGAGAGGCGCCTGAATGTTCTTTGCGAAATCCCACCTGCACGATGCTATTTTAAAAATCGTACTAATGGTCATAAAGGATCTTGAAAGGTGAAGGCTAAATAAATTACAATGACAGAAACAAATCAGCAAAAATAATCTATGATCTGGGAATTGTTATGTGTGTGATAAACCATCTCAGCAACAAAGGCCTGCTTTTTTTTAGATGCAGCCACATAACCCCTGCTGGGGGATTCTGAAGGAGAGCTGCCGAGCTGGCTGTTTCATTTCGTGATTTACTCTTCATTTCTTCCAAGAATATTCAGACTGAAATTGGACTGCCTGTTGTTATGCATCCTTAAAAAACAAAAATAAATTCTAGCAGAACGGGAGCAAAACTTGGTTCTCTTATCTAACGCATTCAGAGGTCAGTTATAATAAGCAAAGAGACTACTCTGTGTGACAGACAAAAAGATATGGGACCAAACAGACATAAGGGAGAGTTTTTTCCTCCCACAAATGTGTGTATGACATGTGCAAAGTGCATAAAGCAAGCCCTGGGATGGTCCAATAGCGCACTCGCTACTCTGGGCATTTTCCACTTCATTTACCTTTTATATGCTGTGCCTTAAGCTACACAAAATGTAGAGAAATTTGCATGATTTGGTTATTTATTATTTGAATATGCGGTTAATGAGGTCTCCTGGTGTCTTAGGTTGGGCACCAGGAAATAGACTCTGAGACAGAGATTTGTGGGTGGGAAATCTATTGGGAACAACACCTATAAGGGAGCCAGGGGAACAGGACAGGGGCAGAAGGTTGGGCTCAGGTGACCTCACGGGAAGTTCAGGAGGTGGGATGGCTCATCCGAGCTGTCTCATATTGAGGCAAGACGGCTGGATCTTCATACTCTCTTCCACTTGTACCTATCACTCACCCCTTTGGAAAGGGGCCTAACCTTAAGAAAGGCTGCTTCCTTCAGGCAAGTCCTTGAGAGGACTCAGCTGAAAGCCATCAGGGGCCAACACTTCCGGCACCTGGGGGTCTCCAACCTGAAGGGGGATCTAGGCTGGGTGCTATGGACTGAATGTTTGTGTCCCCCCTTTTCCAAATTCGTATGTCAAAACCATAATTCCCAGCGTGATGACACTTGGAGGTGGGACATCTGGGAGGTAGTTAGGGTTCGATTAGGTCATGAGGGTGAAGCCCCCATCATGGGATTAATGCCTTTAGAAGAAGAGGAGGAGACACATGAGATCTCTCTCTGCGTGAACGAACCAAGGAAAGGCCATGTGAGAACGTAACCAGGAAGAGAGCTCTCACCTGTACCTGGCCATGCTGACCCCTGATCTCAGACTTCCAGCCTCCAGAAACCTGAGAGATAAATGTTTGTTGTTTAAGCCACAGTGGTAATTAGTTTTGGCAGCCCGAAAATTTTAAGATACTGGGCATTGCAGCGAACACTATAGACAGTAATACCCTGACTTATATTAACAGTAGAACATTTCTCAACTCTGTCCTGCTCAGGTAAAACATGAGAGGCAAATTAATAGTTGAAGGTAGAGTTCTTAAGAAAGCAGTTATGCATTTTAATCAAAAAGTATTAACTTGACTTCTAGAATGGTAAAGTAGGAATAATTGTTACTCTCCACCTCTTGCCCTGTTATCAGTCCAGGTCATGTAGTAAGTTGTCCTGTTAATAAAGAAGTGAACTTAGTATCCAAGAGAAAAATTTGAATTATATTTGTTTCCCTCTGTTTCTGTCACTGTCACTTTTCTATCTTATTTGGAAGACTAAAAAGGCCACTTAGGGACTTCCCTGGTGGCGCAGTGATAAGATGACACACTCCAAATGCAGGGGTCCTGGGTTAGATCCTTGATCAGGGAACTAGATCCCACATTTCATGCCGAAACTAAGAGTTTGAATGCCACAACTAAGGAGCCCGAGAGCCACAACTAAGGAGCTGGCAAGCTGCAACTAAGGAGCCCACCTGCCACAACTAAGACCTGGTACAACCAAATAAATAAATAAATTAATTAATTAAAAATAATTTTTAAAAGGCCACTTAGGGTAGGCTGCTTACATTTCATAATAAACAGTGAAAATTTTTTTGTTTGTTTTTCTTTTTTCTTTTATTGGCCATACTGCTCAGCTTTGGAGATCTTAGTTCCCTGACCAGGAATTGAACCTGTGCCCCAGCACTGAAAGTGCCAAGTCCTAACCACTGGACCTCCAGGGAATTCCCAATAGTGAAAAAGCTTTGATTTGAGTTTTATCTTGAAAAGTGAAATAAAAATTGTGAAAGTATATTTACTTTATATCTACCAAAATATAGGCTATAATGATAACTACAGGCTTACTCTTAGAACTAAGAACAAGTCCAATGACTGACTGGAATTTTTGGACATAATTTTTTCCAACAAAATCTTATAATGGCACAAGTGACATTTTTCCTTTGTATTTTATTTGTGCAGCATGAAAATGAAGATGGATATTTAACAAAATGCTTGAGGGTTTTATTAATTTTCCCACAGTCTCTCAATCCTTCAGTTAAAACTCACAGGGAGTTGAACTCATCTTTGGAAACATCTCTGCTGTCTTCATTCTTTTGGATGTTTCTCTCTAGTTGTGGACATTTCCACTTGGACATCCAAGAGACATATCAGTCTTCACGAGTCCAAAACAGACCCTTGGTTCTCAATTTTCCCTGCCCCTTCCCAACCTCTACTCCATTTTCTCTCCTCCAGCTGCCCAAGACAAATATTAGGAATTATCCTTGATTTCTTTTTTTTTTTCTTCTCTCACATGTGACATCCAATCCATCAGCAAGTCCACCTGGCTCTGCACCCCCAACCTGACTCCTTCTCACCACCTCCACTGCTTCCTTCCAGAGCCAGCCACCATCTACACCTGCCCAACCAACTTCACCACCTTCCTAATGGTCTCCCAGCTTCTACTCTTTGTCCCTACAACTTCTCTCCACAGAGCAGCCAGAGTGATTTTTAAATGTATTTTTTTTTATTAGGTACAACATTTGCATGGTTCGAAGTTCAACACACTATAAAAAGATAGGCTCAGAGAACTCTATAACCTACTCCTGCATCCCTCACCCCAACTCTCTAATGATATTTATTTCCATTGGTATCTTTTTTTTTTATCCTTCTAGGATTTTTTTTTTTTTTTTTTTTTGCAGTACGCGGGCCTCTCACTGTTGTGGCCTCTCCCGTTGCGGAGCACAGGCTCTGGATGCGCAGGCTCAGCGGCCATGGCTCACGGGCCCAGCCGCTCCGCGGCATGTGGGATCTTCCCGGACCGGGGCACGAACCCGAGTCCCCTGCATCGGCAGGCAGATTCTCAACCACTGCACCACCAGGGAAGCCCTATCCTTCTAGGATTTTTAAGGCAAATGCAAGCATATGCAAATATATCTCTCACCTTATTACATAAAAGGTAGCCTACTATAGAGACTATTCTACAGTGTTCTGTATCTTGCTTTTTTTCACTTACCAATACATCCTAAAGCTCTTTTCATATTAGCACATAGAGATCTTCCTTATTTGTTTTTCCCGCTGCTTATCATACCATCGTTTATTTAACCAGGTACCTTTTGCTGAGCAAATAATGCAACAATGAAAGACTTCATACAGGTGTCATTTCATACATGTGGAGCTGCATCTATGGGATAAAATCACAGAAATACAGTTGCAAAATCATGTATTTTAGTGTATTTGCCAGTTTCAAAATGAAAATTTTAGAGATAAATCTGATTGTCACTTGCCCTGCTTAAAGGCCTCCCCCAATTCCCCATCCCAATCAGAATAAAAACAAAAAGCACTGAGACCCACAAGGCCATCCCTAATCTTAATCCTAAACAAGGCCTTTGCCTACCTCTTCGATGTCAATGTCTTTTCCCCTCTTTCACTGTGGACTAAGCTCATTGGCCTTCTTTCATCAATCTCATAAAATTATCTTTCATGAGATGCGCAATTTCACTTTGTAGTTGATTTCCGTTGTGTTTGGACTGTATTGTCAAATACGTGTAAAAATCCAGTCATCAACTCGAGACTTGACAAAGAAATTGACCCTAGAAGGGGAGAATAGACGTTAATGTTTAATGGGGATGGGTATTTATAAGCAGTCATTTGATAAGTAAACGTTTCTAAGTTATGATGACTTTTACTCTCCCTCATAACTTCAAACTTCAGGGATTCAGAGAATGAATGCTGAGATAATGAGGACTTTCTATCATTCTGTAGCTGTGTGACCACGGATCCCAGACACATAAAGGTGGAAGTCTAACCTTACACAGAAAGCCAACACGGTCGGGAAAGAACAGTGGGCTGGAAACGGCAAGCGCTGTGTTCTGCCACTAAGTAAGCTGTGGGAGCTTAGAAAGGCCATTTCATCTTTCTCTGCCTCATTTTATATGTATGAAAAGGAAGAAAATGGAATTCATCATGAGTCTCAACCTTTTCACTCCCCAGGGATTCCTTTTATTACCCCCACTCATTTTTATAATATGTTGAGAAATTTTATCTACCGAAAGTTATTTGTTATAATTTATGTTACCATGTTCATTGTTCACTGTTAGCATGTTCATTGTTAATTTATCAACACTATATATAATTTTGAATTCTGCTTAGCATTAAATAATCAGCTGCTGTTGGTTGACCCAAAGCAAAGAAATTCATATTTTCATTTGCCTGTGTAGCTCTATCTTGTTTAATTCCTAAGGCTGGGAATCTCAGGACCTACATGACTGTAAGTTTCTTTACCAGTCTGGGAGTCAATGTCATGTATATAATCATCTAGTCCAGAGGATTTTTATTTTTATTTTTAAAATTTTTATTATTTATTTATTTATATTTTCACGGCACTGGGCGGCTTGTGGGATCTTAGTTCCCCGACCAGGGACTGAACCCGGCCCTTGGCAGTGAAAGCATGGAGTCCTAACCACTGTACTGCCAGGGAATTCCCTAGTCCAGAGAATTTTTTTTTTTTTTTTTTTGCGGTACGCGGGCCTCTCCCGCTGCGGAGCACAGGCTCTGGACGCGCAGGCTCAGCAGCTATGGCTCACGGGCCCAGCCGCTCCGCGGCATGTGGGATCTTCCCGGACCGGGGCACGAACCCGTGTCCCCTGCATCGGCAGGCGGACTCTCAACCACTGCGCCACCAGGGAAACCCCTCCTGAGGATTTTTAGATGGTGCCTCACAGAGCCCTGGAGCTCAGAGCTGAAGTGACGGTAGGGAAGGAGGAGGTGAAGCAAGGAGTCTTAGGGTCCCCAAACCTATTTTATCTAGAGTACCTCCACTTTTTTTTACTGTCCTGTATATTGTGTTCTGCCTAGGATTTTGTTTGAAGAAAGGTTTAAGCTATTAAAAATAATTTGAAAAAAAAAGAAAAAAATAATAATTTGAAAAATACATCAATCAAACTCGATTGTATAGATGAGGATAATGAGGCTCAGAAAAGTTCAATGAAATTTGCCCAAGGTTACAGAGCTAATTAATGGCCAAATGTTCATTCAGTCAATCAACACATACTTATTGAACATTGTGGAAATTAAAATTATAAAACTTTGATTCAGTCTTGGTCTAAAAACAATCTATGGGTCACCATGATGTTTGATCAGAAGCATTAGGACAAAAGAATCTTCTTTTCTTTTTTTTAATTCAATTTTTTTTTTTGGCCACACCCCGTGGCTGGCAGGTTCTTAATTCCTCGACCGGGGATCGACAGTGAAAGCGTGGAGTCCTAACCACTGGACCAGCAGGGAATTCCCTAAAGAATCTTATTTTCACGAACTGGTGGAGAATTGACATTAATGTGCATGCTACTCCTGTTTGGTAAGAAAAGGAAGAGAGTGCAGAAGAATATCTGCATGCTGGTGACCGCGGGAGAGCGATGAACAGAGTTCTGTTAGAGGACAGGCCAGGTGGGGTAAAGGTCTTATTTCAGTTTAAATTCTTAGGGGTTCTGTCTCTGACTGTCACACTATTGCTATTTTTTAGTGTCACAGAGGAGGAGCCAAGATCATCTATAAGGTTTTTTATTTCATTTCCCAAATTAAGCATGTTACCTCTAAGCTTGGAAAAACCTGTGGCTATGCGAAATGTGTTAATTTAATCTATAAGATATATTTGTAATAAAAGTCAATTGATTGAATTTGCTCAACTTAAGCTGATAATAAATTCTCTGGCCTTATGATAGTTCACCTACAACGGGGTGTTATGTATGTTCGGTTTTTAGTCCAAAAACTACAGACTCTCTGGTTCTAGCTTTCTCCCTGCAAACTATTTGAAATAAAGCGTGTCTTTGGCAGATTCAAAGACAAATGTACCACAAAGCCTCATTCTTTCTCAGCACCAATCAAGTCAGCCATTCTTCTAGGCACTGAGGATACAGCAACGAACATTGGAAAGAGTTTCCTGCTTCCATGGACCAGAATTGGTTCTCTTGGTTTCTGGTCCAATGCTGTTTCTGCTACACTGTGCAGACTGAAGACTCATTCTGCTCTTTTGCAAATACTTGTCATTACAGAGTGTGCTTATGTCTCCCCCATGTTATTTATTCATTTATTCCACAAATATTTATTGAGTAGCTTCTATTACCAGATTATGCTAAGTGCTAGGCATCCTGACATGAATTAGCTCTCAAGGTGCTCACAGACCTATGGAACAGAGACTTGTAAACAAATTTCAAACCAGCATAATAAGTACGATGGAGGGAGAAGAACGAGCTACAGACATACTACACAGCTGCAACTGATTAACTCCCTCTGGCATGATATCCAAACTTGGATTTGAAAGGTTAATAGAGGTTTCCCAGGCAAACCCAATGACGGCGGGAGTAGGAATGGCATATACAAAGGTACAGAAGAAACAAGAGAGAACATGCACATTCTCAGGAACTATCTGCTGTTTGGTATTGATGGAGTTTGAAGCACAAAGTGGATGGGAGACAGGAATTTGATGGAATCTCTATGTAATGGCCTCTGTTTTCTCTGTGAGTGAAGAAAGACAGCATTTTTGGAGACTAAGGGAGGCAGAGGCTGGTAGGAAGTTTGAAGAGAGGTTTAAAAGAGCTGCTGAATTGTTTATAAAAATAGAAAGGATTAGGGAAAAAACAGAAGGTCCATTCATGGGAGACTGGCCTAATATAGTTCACTTGTGCAATGGAATACTATGCAGCCAGGAAAAAGGATAAATACTGATATGAAAAGATCTACACGATATCTTATTTAGTGAAAAGAAGCAAGATGCAGAACTGTGTGTACTACTTTAACTTTTGTGTAAAAGGCAGTAGGAAATTAAAAATATTTCCTTACATGCATAAAATATCTCTGGAAGAATGCATGAGAAAGAGATAGCTTTGGTTGCTTATGGTAAGGGAAGCTTGATAGCTGGGTTACATTGTAGGGGGGAACACTTTACACTGTGTAGTTTTTATTTATTTATTTATTTGGTTGCACTGGGTCTTAGTTGTGGAAGGCAGGCTCCTTAGTTGCAGCACATGGGCTCCTTTGTTGTGGCATGTGACCTGTTAGTTGCAGCATGCATGCGGGATCTAGTTCCCTGACCAGTGATCGAACCCGGGCCCCTGCATTGGGAGCGTGGAGTATTATCCACTGTGCCACCAGGGAAGTCCCCTACACTGTATAGTTTTGAATTTTGGATCACAGTAATGTGTTATCTACTCAAAAATAATTTAAAAGTGAAATCTCTAAAATTTTTTTAATAAAATGAGAAGGAATAGTTTCTTAGGACAATGGAAGATAAAACTAAATTTTGGCATCAAGGCTATGTTCCTCTGGAACCTGGTACTTACTCCTAACTTGAGGAAATGCAAAGGGGAATCTTTATTTTCATTAGCAGAGCCTATTTAAGAAAGGTGATTTGGTTGAATCATGGGGATCAGAGTTGTAGAGAGTCTATAGAAAAACCTAACCAAGGCTTCTGGCTTGGCTTCTTGCAGCCCAGGGTCTCCAACCATGGCTTCTGCAGCTTATTTACAACATCTCTTTGGTTACATCCAAGCAGCCCCTTAAATTCCTTTACTGCACTTCTTGGTGCAAAACCATGTTGGTACAAAGTGAATTAAAACAGAACTTTGCTCTTCAGGAGCTAGGAAGTTAAAGGACCCTGATTATTTCATAATGCGTGAACAAATAACGAACAGGACTAATTTTTGCGTGTGGATTGTTGAATCTGGTTCATTCTCTCACAAGCAAACCCTTTTATCTCTAAGCAAGTATATAAAGAAATGTTCTGGGTGTCCGACAGCAAGCCTGTGAAGTACTGTCTACGGGCCACATAACATCAGGGAATGAGGATGCGGGGATGACCAATCTGTCATCCCTGGGGTCTGGGACCACACGGGGCAATGACAGAGACATGAAGAGAACATTGGAATAAAGTGTGGTCCTTGCTATCAGGGAGGCATGAACGAAATTCCGTGGGAGCCCAGAGGTAGGAGCAAGTAACTCTGCTTGCAAAGAGTTAGGAAGGGCTTCATGGAGGAGAAAATATGTAACCCAAGTCTTAACTAAGGAGTTGAAGTTGAGGGAGGTTGAGAAAGACATTCCAAGCAGGGAGAATACAGTGGGCAAAGGCAGTGAATATCAGAATAACCTGGTTCGTTCATGGGACACCAAGCAGCTTGCTCTGACTCCACGGCAGCCGCTTTTCGGGGAGTGGCAAGTATCCGGGCTAGAAAGGAAGGTCCGGACAGGGTTATAAAATGTCTTGTGTGCCGGGCGAACAAGTTCAGACTTTGTCATGCTCTCAGTCAACAGGCTCATTCGGTACTTTGCCATTACTCTCTAACCTGTTTTAAGCAGGTCGTCCTGTTGGCTTTCATACTCTTGTTAGACACAGAACAGGGATGTGGAAGGCAGGTTGGTAAACAGTGTTATCTTCCCCATTCTTCCTTTTTATTCTTCTCTCACATCTAATTAGTCATCAAAGTCTATTCTGTCACAAATGCTTTCTTTGTTTTTGCCTTAGATCAACCATTTAGCAAGCATTTGCCTGAGGCAAGTACTGGGCTAAAGACTTTATACACACCATCTTATTCAACCTTCA